CTAACTACACAGATGAGGCTCATAGCGATCCTCCTGTTTTCAGTCTCCTAAGTGCTGGTGGTACACCACCACTCCCAGTCTCAAGCACAGTCTCAGCACAACCTGGGGGCAGGACAGGCAAAGGGCCACATTGCAGACCGGCTGCTGTGCTCTGCCTATGCTGGAACATTAGTCTGTTGAACTATCTGCCCAGCCCTCATAGCTTCTTAACTTGCTACTCTCTCAGGATGTTGCATATTTGGAAAATTATTATAATAATTTTTTCCATTATTTTATTGAGAGACAAATAGCAATGAGACACTTTCAAATCAAATTAGTAGAACAGTTTCAATAATTAGCACACTGCATACTCTCTTCCTAGTGGTTATTTGCTGTACAAGGTGCAGACATGTTATCCAATTTACAAACACTATTAGAACAAATCCAGCTAGTCATTAAGAGAAAGTAAATATACATCTAATATCTATACATCTATATCTATATCTGTATATACATATATCCTAACCATTTTGAATACATAGGTACAAAATGGACATTAATCTGTATCTTCCTTTTTGTTTAGTTCCATCATTTGAATATTATAGGTGTGTGAACTCAGCAAAATATTCCAAAAAGAGTCAAGTAGTCCATAATACTATTGGGTCTTCCACTTGACTAGCAGTATCAGAAATTGTTGACCTGAGTCCCCTATAGCACAACACAACACCATGGCTTTACTTCTTATGCTTCGTTTTTATACTTTTCTGCTGGATGGTTAAGACGACGATGTAGCAAGACCTATATAACAAGAGTTGTAGCTTTTGGATCTGATAAGGTCAGTGAAATCCCCTCAGGATTTATCCTGAGATCCTGTACCTCAGATTGTAGATGCTTTGTCAGTGTCAGCCATTTGGATGAGTCACAGCCATTGCTTGGCCAATGTGCTCTCTGTGCAAGCCTGAGAGAATGTTTTCTGTCCATGTGACTCTCCTTAAAAACAATCTATATGATTGCTTACTTTCCTCTTTGGCCCCATAATCTTGATCAGAAAATTTGGGACACTACCAAGTTACATGACATTACAATACAAGTTCTCATATGTCCTGGTCTTAATTGACCTTGGAAGGCTAGGGCCAAAATGTTGGCTTT